CAATAAACATGCAGTCTCGCTAGTGACTGCATAGCATTGACGCCGTTATGTCCGTCATGTAACATTTCAAGCATAGCAGGCTGTAACTTCTTGGGTATACATAATCTTCCATTCCACAAAATTATTCCATCTTCAAATGACATTTGTTCTCTTTTTTCGTAATATGTATGCATATCGTTTGATAGTTCTTTCTTTTCTGGCCAGTGGTTCGTTAGATATTGTTTAATTTTGTTAAGGTTTGTATCGCTACGTGTTTCTTTTCTGAGCTCATGTTTTGTTACAGGTATGTTACTTAGTCTAAGGTGTAGGAGATGTGAAAATTTCGGCAATCCTATTCGTTCTTCTATTGTTGTATCACAATTAGGTAGTGGCAGTCTTGATAATACATCAGCTGGGCTATTTTCCTTGGCTGAATGGTAGTTAATAGTATATTCGTAACTATTCAGAATCATGGCCCATCTAAGCAGGCGATTGCTTGCAATTTTAGGTGTCTCTCTATCTTGGCTAAAAATACGTTCGAGAGGTTTGTGATCCGTTAAAAGAGTAAATTTCCGACCATAGAGATATTGGTGGAACTTTGTTACTGAGTAGACAATACCTAATGCTTCTTTATCGATTGTTGAGTATCTACGTTCCGTTTCAGATAATGTTCTGGAAGCAAAAGCGACAGGTCGCATTGTATTGTCTATTTTATGAAAAAGGACTGCACCAACTCCCTTATCGGAAGCGTCACTGCTGACGTAGATGGGTTTACTCTCATCATAGTGAGCAAGGGTTTCATTCGATGTCAGAGTGTTTTTCAGATCGTTTGTTATTTGCGTGTCCTCGATGGTCCACTCCCACTTTTGATTCTTTTTTAAGTGGCGATACAAGGGAGCGCATCTAACATGTAAATTATCAATAAATCTACCATAATACGTAATAGAACCCAAAAAGGATCGTAATTCAGCTACGTTGGTTGGAGTAGGCATCTTCTTGATGGCTTCAACTCGTTCTGATGTTGGATGTAACCCATTTTTGTCAATTTTATGACCGAGAAAAGTCACACTTTCCTGTAACCAAGAACATTTGGAAATTTGACTTTTGATACCTGCTTCTTGTAGCCTTTGTAATACTGTTCTGACTCGTTTTATGTGTTCTTGACGAGTACCAGCTGTAATTAATATGTCATCGAGGTAGCATACAACTCCATCCAACCCACTTAGGATTTGGTGCATGATTCTTTGGAAAACTGCTGGTGCAAAAGATATACCAAAGGGTAATCGTTTATACTGGAAGTAACCTTTGTGTGTTGAGATGGTTAAGTACCTTCTAGACTCTGGATGTACCAATAGTTGGAGATAGGCATCTTTAAGGTCTATTTTAGTGAATAATTGTCCTCCTGCTAGTTTTGAGGTAATTTCTTCAAATCTCGGTAGTGGGTAATCATCTACTTGTACGTATTGATTGATTGTTACCTTGAAATCAGCACAGATGCGTACGTTTCCATTTGATTTTATCGCAATAACTATGGGTGATGCCCACTCAATCGGCGTTGCCATGGTGTCTATTTGTTCTAAGACCCCCTCACGTACTAAACGCTTCAGCTCCTCATTGACTTGTTCTTGTAATGCGAGAGGAACTGGTCGCGGCCGGAATGCCTTCGGTCGTATATTACTGGGGATATGGATTTTCGCGCTATGACAGTTAATTGTTCCCAACTTTCCGTCAAACAATGTTTCAAAATCTTTTAGAATGAGGTCAATCTCATAGCTATCTTTGGTGTTCATATCGGACTTCGTTTTTGTTGTGGGTTCCTTAATGTTGCACAGACGGGCACCAGGTGGCATAGGCAAGTTGAATTGTAGACACCAATCTAAGCCAAATAATGGCAGGTCATTATGTTGTGTCACATAAGCCGACAATACTTTCACTGTGTTAAAAGCCTTCACGGAAATGTCACAAACCCCTAACGTTTCAATCTTAACGTCAGTATAGGCAACAAGATTCTTACATGTTTTTAATGATGGCCGTCCAATTGTTTCCCAAAGTCTTTTACCAATGACGGAGCGTACAGCTCCAGGATCATATAACATTTCAACTAACTTATTGTTGAGTTCTGTTGATATCATAATTTTGCTAACCGAATTTGGGAACTTAATTGTACAGGTATGTATGCTCTCATCCCCTGAATTTTCATTCTCACTATCATTGAGATTTGATTGTTTTTTGAAAGCAATATGCCTTGTATTATATTTATTGATTTTAAGACGGCCACTACTTATGCAAACGTTTGAGAAGTGGTTCAATTTGTTGCAAGCATTGCATCTCTTCCCTTTTGCAGGACATTCGTTTATGTTTTGGTGAAAATTTCCCCCACAGAATATACATTTTTTTGATGAATTTGGCGTTTCTTTTACAGATCTCTTGCTGGTTCGAGTATTGATTTTGTTTACGGCTTGTAATTCGGCAGTTGTTTCAATGGTAGTGGTGTTTGTTATACGTTGGCTCTGGATTTCTGCTTGTTCTAGTTTGTTCAATGTAGCTATAACATCAGCGAGTTTGGAATCGTTTGTTGGGTGTTCTTTTATAAGTTCTTGTTGCCATACAATATTATTAATACCAATTACTAATTGATCTTTAATACGTTCTTCTAGTGTGTTACCAAATTCACAGTACCCGGCGAGTGAACGAAGTTGTAATACGAATTGTGAAATCGTTTCGTTTTCATTTCTATATCTTGTTGCAAAAGATACTCGTTCGGAAAGGACATACCGTTTTTTGCCGTAATATTCATGAAGTACTTTGACAAGTTCATCGTAGGTTTTTGACGTTACTGCAGATGGGCGAAAATAATCCACAAGTATCTTGAATGCTGTTGAACCAACTCGGGAGAGAAGTAATTGTTTCCTCTTGTTATTGCAATCTGGGGATCTTCCGTCGAGGCCATGGAGTTGCAGTTCTATTTCAAATCTTTGTATATAGTATTCCCAATCTTCTGTGTTATTGTCGAATGTATTAAAATTAAAACGTTCTAACGACATACCTCGTCGCCAGATTAATGTTGTAATAACAATATAATATTAAAACATAGAATAGATGTAAATCGTTTAATGTTAATGTAATCGTGACATAAGTTATTAATGACAGATCGCTTAGATGATAAAAAGACTATGATAGTAGGAGGTGTTATACCACAATATTATCTATTTTTATTAGGCGTGGAGATTTACTATTTATAAAAATATTTGGTAGGTTATTAATAAAGCCATTGACGCTACATCACTAATGAATTGATATTAATATAGGTTTTTATTTTCATTATAGATAGTGAATTTTTAGAAAAAAATCTGTATATGTATTCCTGTTCCAGTCATTGCTTATACAGATTTGTTCACATGTCTGTGTGTTGGTTTGATATGTGAGTAATAAAATTATGCTTCTGGAATAACCTTAATCTTATTGTTAAACGCACAAGGGATCCCATGGTCGTGAGCGTAATTTGTGTGCTGTTATTGTCTATAAGTAAAGGTTGCCAATTTTGATCAGATAGCCGTCAGCTTAATATAATTCCAAGTTGCATGATAAAATATATTCACTAAATTAACTTTGAAGGTGTTGTTTTATTATGTTATTATTGTTATATTATTATTTTACCATGTAAACGTCTGCCTATATGTCACAGTATATTGTAATATATGCACCGAATAATTTCATGCAATTCAGCTCAGTCTCATTTAGTAAGTAGCTAGGGTATAATTGGCGGTGTTGCCAGACTGGAGAGCGTAGTCTATATGCAGGGTACATTGCGGAGACCCAGTGAGATTTATTGGGGGCTCGTGTGCAAAATGCGGTAATAGTGCCGTCAAACTATGGCAAGAACTGCCTCTTAGCCGTCCAAATATGAATGTTGCGCCTTTGCAGCCATAAAAATTCTTTATGTTTTATTCAGTGATAAATTTTATGTATGTTAAAACGAGATTGGACAAAGAGCCAAGACTTTTCTTTGTTTTTATTCATTACAAATCAGTCACAATGTATATTATATAGATTTCCATTTAGATTATGGTAATCACTAGATTTAGTCCCTTGTCATGAATTATTTTAGTTTATAATCGACTTTAAAAAGAGGTAGTTAGTAATTTGCTTGTATTTTTAGTATTATGTTCGCCAATTTATCAACTGATTTCTTTATTTTTTCAATCGATATATACGTGTTAGTCCCATATTAAGGTCAAATTTAAAAAAGTTTTTTTTTAAGTAGTAATTTCTTAAATATATTACGCTAAATAAAATTTAATGTTTTCTGAGTCATTTTAGTTATTTAGGTTATGCGTTGATAGACCAGTTAGGTCAGAAGAAGTTTGTATACATAAATATATAAAAAATATTACTGATGTTTCAATGAAAAATGTTATTATTTTTTTTGCAGAATGTGTATCGAAAGTAAGTTAAATTGACATTCTACACAAGGACAAATTCAGTCGCATTAATGCCTATCTGCTTTGATTATAAAGGCGATATAGTTCTTTAAAAGGAACAGACAAGTCTAAAAGTGCTTAATGCTATAAACAAATCCACGCTATTAAGCCAAAGAAATAGCTAATTCAATACCGATAATTGTCAAGAAAAATTATGCACGCCGTAATGAAATAACATAAACATTCACTCTCTAATTATACCTAAACATAATTTATTAGCTAGTGACATAGACAAATTTAAATCGATGTTTACACAAAAAACATTTATAGTCAATCGAAATGATTAGCAACTTTTCAAGGCAGTGTTCTGCAGAAAGTAACAAAAAATTTCGAGCGTCTCATACTAACACGACGTATTCAGCTGTCAAGTTAGTGAAGTTCTTTGGTGAAAATGTTTAGTTTCACTAGTAGTACAATCCTTTAAAAGAATGCCAATGATTCAGATTTCACTCTGTATACAAATTCTTAAAACAGCAAGTCTTTATTGGAGCCAAGAGAGTTAGTAATTTACAATTCAGTACTGCTCATTACCCGTTTCATTGCGAGCGTGACGTTATGTTATTATCCATTTCACACAAGTGTGCATGCGCAGTGCGCACGCGGCAAGTTCCGCATATGGTAGCTTCTTGTGCATCGTGATTCATCGGCCGTTGCCACCGGCCATTAGTCAGTTTGTTTACTTACTTTTATGAACGATAAAATACTTTATAAACAGTCCCAAGTGTATCGAGGAATTATTACTACACGTAATTTGTTTGGATGAAGCAATGCCGATAGATGAGTTCACAAAGAATTGATAAGAGATAGAACTTCTCATTACTCGAAGTATATTACAAAATCGAATATACTTATAAGATTCCCGCGGCTCGGCTTATGCGAATTAGAATAAATATCTAAGCTAAACCTGTGTTAATGTAATTGTTCTATTTGTGTACTAAATTTTATTCAATTCCGTTCAGCCGTTTTGTGTTATTAAGTAACAAACAGCTATCCGTGTATCTGTAGTAACTTACTATACTGTAACGCTTAGATACCTTTCAAACGAGTCGGCGTCAATCAGCTCTGTTGGGTTCAGATATTTCTTCGAAAAGTCACTTTACTAATTATTTATTTATTACTCTTTATACATAAAAAATATTTTTATATTATTTTTTATTTCAAATATTAATCTATGAGAAATGAAAAAAATGTCCACAAACAAAGGCTGGTGGAAAGGAACGGTAATCCTTACCAATTGGGATTACTGGCGAACTAAAAGCGTTACAATAGATAACACATGGCCACATCACAATGGCTCCAATAACAATACACAAGTACGATGAAACGTGACGCATGCTTACTTATCGATTTCTAATCATACGCCCCCGCGTCGGCTCCGTATGTTACTGTAATTTAAGTAATATTTAGTTACATGATTCCAATTATCGATACATATAATTAGACAGTTTTCCATATGGCGAATGGCCAAATTATTTGCCAACAAAAGTGATACCACAATTTTTTATGTAAATAATAAACAATAAGAAATGGCATGTCTCTTATTACTGTCACGTATAGTTACCGATTTTACTACGATTTCTGATACTTTCACTAATTTATGTAATTATAATTTGTATTAAAATAACACTTAACAGTGATTAATCGCGACAATAATGAAATGTAGAATTTTACATTCCTAATGATACCTATAATAAAATTTTAATTAGCCTGTATCAGTACAATTCTTACTAATATTGTAAATATGAAAGCGAGTTTGTTTGTTACCATATAGCGACTTAATCAATCACTATGAAATTTAGTATACACGTATTGTATGGGATGGAGAATGGCTATTGGCATATAGGCTACTTTTTATCCCGGTCAGTAAATATATCCCGGTTACGCGAACAAAGTCGCGAGTAAAAACTAGTATCAAATATTTACGAGTATAACTAATGCGAGAGGTCATTGAAAGGCAGAACAGTGTTTTTGTCTCTTGATGATGTTTGTCCGCTTTTACATAATTATTTGAATATGTACACATGTACAAATGGCTTTATATCATAGTTTCAGTTTCACTAGATCTCTATAACAAGATTCTGTTTGGAACTTTAAAAAAATCACAGTGTATCTGTGTGTTATAATATTATTGTTTGTTTCAATGTCAAATTAATAAAACAGAGTCATACTGATGACACTTGACCAATAAACATGGTTGACAAAGACCTGTGACTAACAAGCAAGTTACGCCGCATTAAAAACTACAGATAATAGTCTGTGGAAACAATATGTCCCTACTGTTGCAAATATTGTTAAAAAGTAACAGAATGATTTTCTATTAATTTATGTCGTAGAAAGAGATTGTTAGGTACTATCCTTAAAATATAATTTGCATATATATGGCGTTCTATAATTTATGATACAGTTCAGCAATAAAGTACAAACCTATGTTTATAATTCTTAATGTGCACGACTTTATCTGTATGTTATTTGTAGACAAATACATGCTAAGAATCAAAGTTTTTATAACTTACCAACTGACCTGGCAAATATTATTTTGCCACTTATTGGATTTTTTTTTATTTTAATAAAATAGGTTAAGCAGTTTCGAGATATTAGTGTAAATAAATACTGTGAATGTTTAAAATCGGGTTTTATATCTTTATTTATAGTTTTGTGTTCGTATTTAAAATTAATGTTATCACTATTATCATATGATGTGAAAAATAGTAGCATTTGTTAAAGATAATAGTTTTTTATTTCGTATTATTTTGCGGTGCGCAAATCAGAATGATTTTGTTATTCGAAAAATTAGTAATTATTAATTTTTAAGTAAAGAAATTAGTAGTCGAGTGAGTAAAATTAGTAGTTGTATTAGTAATTTCGCGCATCGCTAGAATTATTGGATCGGTTAATAACTATTTGCTTCATTTTTTTAATATACAATATTTTATAAAAACACTTAATGATATGTAATTTATTTGGTATATAATTTGTAAGATTTTTTTTAATCTTAGACCTGTAACATTGACAAATATATGTAAGTTTATTTTAGATTTGGTAGAGGTATCTCACCACCATTGATATACAAAACACCAAAGATGTAGGTATCAGAAACTCATCACCATTAAAGACTAAACAGCGGCATTCTAACCTAATTATGCACTTATTTGTAACCATTGATTTTTGCAGTAAAACGTGTTGAAATGTACAAATTTTGTAGAATGAATGTCTAGAAATTATATCTAGGTTCCCTATTTTATTATAACTACTTAGACATGTTTATTCGAGACAATTTTATTTATACCATTTGTATAGAAATGTGAATCTTGGATTTTCTGTATATTAATTCTCACTGTGTTATTCTTAGTTTGTAAACTATATAAAAGTTATTATTTCATAATTTAATAAAATTATCTTTGCTAAAATTATCAATAAGTCACCTAAAGAAATCAATATGAAAGTATTAAGTACTTATAAAATATTTACTTTGAAAATATTGGAGCGTTTAACAAATATATTTATCCACACTACCATTCGTGACTTCATATCGTGTACAAATAAATATACATAAATATATATACTGCAGGGTAAAGCAACTTTGTTATTTAGTGATTTACGATGACATTTCAATATGTAGTATATTTTGAATGCCTTTGGTTTTACACTTATTACTCAGTATTACTTTCAAAGAGTGGGTAAAATTTAAATATATATACATACAAACATACATATCTGTCACGCCTGTCTCCCATTAGGATAGGCAGAAACAATAAATATGTATATTTGAACCTAAATAGCTTTATATTACATTAACTTCGTAACTTGCTCTTATATAGGATCACAGTGAGTTTAACTTAGTATCATATTGTTGTTATTACTGTAAAGGGATTATAAATTTATTAATAATGTTTACGTAGGCATATAGGTGAACTGGGTTATATTTATAAATATAAATGAGTGAGAGAGAGAGAGAGAGATTCTAACTGGAATTACACACATAAATAATAAATTTTAAGGTTGTTACTTTTATAAGATCTATATCTAGCCAAGTTTATTTATAAGGCAAAGGTTATGTAAGTTTTATTTTATTAAAGTATTGATTTGAATATTATAAATGAATGGTCGATAGCATATTATTATTGTAAATGAATTTTAAACTTGCAAATTATTATTTGCAAGTTTTAAATTCTTATTCATTGATTTTATACTCATAATAAGAGTTAGATATTGGAATCAAATTTAGTTTATATATTTAAAAATAGAATACAATTTTTTTATTTTTAGTATTGTTATTTTCAATACTACGGGGTCGACGTCTGAATACAGTTAAGGAAGTATAACAAATCTATACCAAATCAAGAATAATAGGTATAACATTTAGGCGGAAATATAATTATTTGGATATAAATAACAATTACAATTTTTTGGTGGAAATAATATTACTGTAAGCGGTAATGGGGGCTTGTCGGGTCACGCGACAACCAGTATCGGCGGACCTCCATTTTGGACATCTAACAGCATAGAATTTCAAGAAAAGCTTTTATAATACAAATTCTAAGAACATATAATTCAATTCTAGATAGTATGTTCCATTTATGTCTTACTTCATTTATGTAATCATGTAAAATGGTATATAAGTTGCAAACTAACCTGATTAAAGGAGTAACTAAATTGAAGAAGTGTGGGCAGATAGCACCACTTCAGAATTATAGTGAAGACATTATAGAATAATTACAATAAATTTTGATCCGAGACTGCAAGAGCTGCTCTCAAAACTCGTGACGTTTGTTATTCGTACCTAACAACCAAACCATTTTGATATTTTCAATCGACTTCAAAAAGGAGAAGCTTAACAATTGGATTGCATTTTTTTACGATTGTTTTCTAATAATTCCCATCAGATGTAAACCGAATTAGATTTTTTTTTTATATCTAAAAGTATATATAGATGACTTCCATAGAAATGTTATCAAAATTGATTCTGTAGTTTAATTTTGAAATCAAAATAACAGGTTTTGCTGCAATTGATATTTTTTGTTTGTGGAATACAGTGTTTAATTATATATGAACAGTATAATCTGAAAATAAAATTACTCGCTTAATCTGACGCTTGTTTATAGATAGATAAGGTTGTTGTATGTAAACTAGCTATTGTTTGTGACAGTAACCTCATGGGACGCAGGCGGTGGAAGTGCGGCTGTGTCGTCGGAGTTTCAATCATTTGGTAGCGTATTGTTTCATTGTTGAGGTTTGCATTTGGAAATGTTCATTTCGCTGTTTCACAAGTTAATTCTAATTTAGTGTAATATATGGTTTCTGCAAGTTGTATTCATGATTAAACAGTGCTTATAGCTTAAGCTTACAGTATTATGCTTAGATTCATATTTATTAAAATCTATCGAGTCGTTTCGACTATACATTGCAACAAACGTCTCAGCATAGACAATACCTTATGACACTTGAAAAACGGCTTTGTATTTTTGGAGAACAAAAAGTTCATGAATTTGAAGATTTAATTTAATTTGATATTTATATAAAATCAAGCTTTTGATGGGGTTACGTTGTATTTGTGTGGACATTACCTGTAATGTAGGGGCAAATCAGCGTGCCGAGGGTGTACGGGTGGGGGTAGAATAGGGCACAGACCGAGTTTGATTGATGACTGGGGTAGCATTGTGCGTACG